GGAATATTTGATGGGGAAACTAAAGACACTCAGATTCTTCTCAGAGGTGTTCAGTGATAGAATTAGAGACAATGTGAAAATTTAAATACAGGAAAATCCACTTAAAAAATAAGACATTTTAATTTTTTTTTTTTAAATTACAAGGGCAATCAAACACTGGAACAGGTTTGTCCAACCAGACTGTGGAGCTTCCATCAAACTGGACATGACCATGGGCAACCTCCTCAAGCTGACTCTGCTCTTAGTTGGGGTGTTGGACTAGATGATCTTTGATCCCTTTGGCCCCTTTCCAACCTTACCCATCTTATGATTCTGGGAAGTTTTCCATGAAAAAAGGGTTTAAGTTAGACACAAAAGCTTGCCTAAGAACAGATGCTGTATCTTCAAGAATGAGGTTGCCACAAAGTTAGACAGGGGATGAAAGGGAGGTAGAATGGATTTTTCTTATTTTTTTTTTTCCCAGAGACTTTTTATTTTATTTCTTTCATCAAAGGATAGGAAAATTTAGGTTCTGTTATTAATTCATTTAACAGAGTGTGAGTGGAGACTGGCAAAGCCTGAGAAAAAGGAAACCCTGCAGTGTGTGATAAAGCTTGGGAGGACCAGCCTGTGCACAAAGTTAGGAACAGTTGGCTACTGAGATGATTTATAAGACGGGGAACTGAACTTGAGCAAAACCATCCTTGAACAGACAGAGCGAAACTATTCACAAGCAGCTTTATTCTGTTACCTCTTACGTCAGCCTGAGGTTAGGGAGCAAAGTGGGGAAATGGATTATATGAATATCTTGGGTAAACCGATGGAGTAAGACAAGGAAGGGGAAGAAAATTGCAACCAGCTGCATAACAGAAAAAAGTCTTGTAAGCACAAGACCTTCTGCCCACTGCCATTTCAAAAATATCTTATGGTACTGTGCCTCATCTGATCTTGCCAGGGACATGCCTTTTCTAGTGCTCTAGCCTCCCTGGATTTGACATGTGCTACAAAGGATTCTGATGAACCCCTGCTGTGCTAGACTACTTCCACTTATCTTTTGTTGACCTCTTTCTTTGCTAGAGCACCTTTTGATCACATTGTCATGATTCAGTCTCATTTTGGAGAATGACAGTCCCAAATATTCAGTAAAATATTCAGCAGTACCACTGAGTCCCAAGGGCACATACTTAACTTCAAGATGAAGTATTTTTGTGAACTGGGTCCCACCACAACTTTGATCCCCTCTTTCCTTAAATATTGAGGGAATAGTGTAGGCAGCAGCAGAAAATTAAAGTAGCTCAGAGAACTGGGCAGTGCCGCTGCCTTTCTTTTGTAAATTTACTTTTGATGATTCATAACAAGAGTCTTTATGTCAAAATGAAAGACTTCCTGGTTTTGGTCCTGTGTGAAAACCCCTATCTGAAGTTTTAAGTTGAGGGCAACTTTGGTGCTCTAGCTATTGGAATTGTTAAGAAATAGGAACACTGACAGAGGAAGTAGTAATACATCTTAATAAAATGCTCAAACTTTTGCTTAAAGAGATGATGAATTTCGATTGTAGCCTGAGAAGGGTATTTCTGTTTTTAAAATGAGAATACACGATCTTAATGCAGTGTTAACTACTGAACTGAAGAGACTACTAAATTTCTTAGCACACCATTTTACTTCACTATTTTGTTATTCACAATTAAGGATGCAACTTTTTTGCAGGTTTAAAAAGTTAATCCTTGTTGTTGTAAGTCAAGGCATGCTGCAGATCATAGCAAATCCTTTTTAATAGCGATAAACTTCAGTGCAGTTTTAAGTGTGGTTGCAGTTGTATATACAGGCTAAAAGTAAAAAATTATATTCTTTTAAAAATGCAAAATATAAGATTACCAGATAAATATTTTGTAACATAAATGTGATTAACATTCTTCAAGAAAAGTCAGGAACATGACCATAAATAGGTATACCTGTAAGATGTCTTCAAACTTGTTTTTCCAATCTAGCAAGTAAAACCAAATTATCTTCTCTAAATAAAAAAACCCAGCTGCAATACAATTGACATTCTCTAACTTCTGAAACATGTGAAAACACCAAAAGTCATTATGACACTTGTGCCATCATACACATGACATATGACACAAGCGGCATTATAACCACTTGATGGCATCCCAATGGACAATCTAGCAGAAAGCCCTCTCTAATGCTACTAACTACTCATTACTAGTTACTAGAAAGGAGAGATTTTGGGTTCTCTGAGGCAAAGCACAGTTAAAAAAAAGGCAATTCTTTAAGTTTTAAGCAAAGTAGTTTGCCTGTACGTAGATATCCATAGCAGCATTAGCACTTTGACCAGGTAGATGCTGTCCAGCGAGGAGAGACTGGCAGCAATCTTTGTGCACAATACAACTATTTCAATGTTGTGTTGTAGTGAATAAATACTGAGTATAAAATTGTGTTTGAGGCATAGTAATTTCAAGTTAATACTGAATGTATCTTGGTGGGGCAGATGTTTTGCTACATCAAAGCTGGGATACCAATGTCAACATAATTAAAATTCACTCATTATAACCAAAGATGCTTCAGTGTAATATGAACAGTGGAAATGGATAATGCAGCCCACATACTATACTATAGAACCTTCAATACCAGTCTAAAGGACACTTTTGATATACAAAAATTAAAAAACAAGCCCATCTGAATGTGAGGGGATCATTTATTCTGGATGGATACTACATACTACTTTGATACGTACCTGGAAGGGCAGAGGAGTTTAGAAGTGGAGTTAGCAGAACGCCGATGCTATCTTTAATCTTCAGGAGCCAAGTGCTTCCCAACATGACTGATAAGTATTAGCATAACTTAAGCTTTCAGAAGGGTCAACATAAAAAACAGGTTAAAAATTCCTAAGTTAAAAAAAAAAAACAAAACCAAAAAACGATGAGGCTAAACAGAAGAAGCTTGTATGTTTTATCAAAAAGACTGAACACTTTCATTTCCTAGAACCTGTAAGAGCCAGATAGAATCCCTTAATAGTAAAATTCCACATGACCTGCAGCAGCTACCTTTTACTCCCAGTTACAAGGTAAGGGTGACAAGGCCAGGAATCCTGTGTATTTTAATTTCATTTTGAGTTCAGGCCAAATGATGATTTACCCAGTAATAAAAAGATGCAATATCACTATACTCATCTCTTATTACCAATATTGAGATGCTGGACCTCTACACTTGCACATCTCCCAAGCCAAAGCCATCTGAAACACCATCCCTACTTCACATAGGAAGTTTTTCTTAAGGTACCTGGGTCAGAAAGCATTTTGTTATTTTAACATTTCAATCTGTGTACATACAATCTAGTAGAACTTATTCATGCAAGTATGTAAGCCACATAGGATGTCTAAGCTAGAAATTTTCACCAAATGAACATTATTTCAGGTAGTGATAAAAGAAGCTATAAAAATGGATTTAAAAATACACCAAGTACTTTCTTTTTTCCTCCTGTTTAGACACAAAAAGAAACAGAGAATTGAGCTTACAAACAGAGCTTTATAATGGTTATGTACAATGCAGGCATGATTTCTTTCAAATAATCTTCACTACAGAGTCGGATCTGAATCTAGTATGTTCCTTGATTTTAATATTATTCTGCTGCAGGACAAAGAACTCTGAAATGACCTTTTGCATACTGCCAACTGAATGATGTATTTCAATTCAGAATCATTATTTATTTCACTGACATTTTGTTAATACATTTTTTACTTCTGAAAGTATGTTGCTACCTCCATTTCTTTAGTAATTCATTATATGAAAGATGAAGGCACACACACAGAGAACTGTGCCAAGGAAGGTGTTCTGTAACGAAAGACAGGCATAGCCAGTTCTCCATTTTGGAACCAAGGCCACTAGCAAGATGTTGAGACTAGAAAAATAAGGGACCAACAGTTTTTAAGAGCAAAATGTTTCACCACTGAGTACCACAGTTTTACTGCACATATTTATTTTTTAACTATTTCCTCATATCACCACATATCAAATGGTTACTCAGGCACTACGTCCATGAGAATGACTCAAGCTATTCCCCAGTGATTAATCAGTACAGATGAACAAAGATTTGTTCAATTTAAGGAGATTGAATGGTACTACAACTCAATAGGTCTGACACAAAGTTTAAACAAGAACAACTCTGGAGCTTGGAATAGCTCATATTTTTCTACTACTGCAGTTAAGAGGCACCTAGAAAATCACATAACTGAAAGATCACTAATTGCTTTAACTCCTTTCTAGTTTTCTCAGCAATTGTTATGTCTCATTAAGCTTTTTAAATGAATAGAGGCTGACTTTGCATGAGCTGCACATTTACAATCCAGAAAGACTATACAAAATCCTTTACAAAATCAGTTGATGGAAACATGCCAGGAAAGACATTTTACTGAGGGACTGATTTTTCTGAAGTTTTTATTCTCAAAACTGTCTCTTAAATATAGGGGCTAGGCAGCCAGGTACTTGCTCATTTAAGATTGATGTATTTCAGACTGCAAGAGAAAATGAAATAAAATAGTATGAGGCCTCTAATTCATCTCAATCAGATGAACGTCACTTTACTATACATCCTGTACATGTCAAACAAATGATGTTTGACACCTTTTGCTCACTGAAGTTAAATTGGGTAATTGGGTCTGTCTAAGCTTCCACGTATCTTTCCAAATCAAAATTTTTGGGTTAATTAGGACAGGGCTTCATGACTAGTTTAATTAACCTAAACACTTCTCCACAAACTATAGTCTCATTCTCCTCTACCAGGGAGATGCTCCCACTCCCTTCCTCAGGCTAGAAAGCCAGTCTTTTGTTAGTTTTCACCTTCTGGCTAGATCAGATTTCCTGACCCACCTCACCAGTCTCAAATATGATAACACACCCTACAGGGAACAGGAGTAAAAAAAAAAATAAATGTATTTTGTAGCATGAAGGAAGACTACCATTTATTAAAGCTCAATTTTCCCTCAGAAAGGTTAAAAAAAAAAAAAAGAAAGACTCTCTTATGCAGGTAGAAGTCAAATTGCTTTTAATACTACTACAGCTTCAGAAATACCAGAATCTCCTTGGTAATACAATATGCATAGTCCCATTAAAACTTTGTTTTTATTTTTGTAGATGATAGTTCCTGAGCCTCACTCTGCCTCAGCTTCTCCAGTCAGTGACAACCTGTATCAAAACTAGTATATTCCACCACAGTTAACAGTCACAGCCATTCTACATTAATGTACAGATTTAGAGGAACACAAGCTACATACAGAACAATGAAAGTGCTTAAACATAGCAGCAACACCTCTTCAAGCAGAAATTTAGACATTCTTGAAACTAATCTGCATAGGATTTCATTGTCACTGACAGGACCCAGATGAGATTCACACATTCAGGTAGAGTTCCAAAGCTTCAGAGTTTGGTTTTCATTTTGCTGTTGAATCTGAAAACTAAAATCAAGAAAAAGGACGATAGCTGTTTGGAAAGAAAAAAAAAAGTCTACCTCCACTGGCAGTTTCCCCAGTAAAGTATTTAAGGAACTAGCATTTGAATGTAGACCAACCTTCTATGCCATACTAGGCAAACTCAAGAATTGGCCTTTTTTTGGCTTATTAGCAACAAATCTCACGTTATAGTGCACAGGCTTAGTAAACTTACAGTTGAAGCCAAGTGAACATGAAATTGCATCTCGTTTGACTGGTCATCAAGACTTATATTTTTGATCTAGTCAAGAAGCATCAAATAAAGAGGCTATGCACGTTCCACATTACAATTAAAAGTTCATAACAAGACAATACACTGGAGATTAAACAGCTTATTAAAAGTGAGTTTACAGTCTAAATGGAGTTTGTTTGCAAATAACTGACTAGGAAGATTATGATAGTTCCAGGTTAGCTGGAATGGTTAACAACTCAAGCCACCAAGCAAGGAACACAGATGGGTTGCAACTGCCTTTCTGAAAGTGCTACAGGCTTTCAAAATAAAGTTTTATTGTTACTTTAAAAATTAAGTGTCCAATAACTCTGCAGAAGCCTAGTGGACACATTTTTTACAGTGGTGCATGGTAGGAAGATGAAAGACCATAGACATGAGTTGAAGAAAGGTTAAGAGTAGATAAAGTCTCAGGGGACAGTCAGGCATTGAAACAACTTTCCCAGGCCATAAAGTCTCCGTTGTTCAAAGTTTAAAACCTGACCACATGAAAACCTAAGCACCCTGGTATGACATTGCTTGGAGAAGGATGTTGCCTTCCACTTCCTAAGATAATTCAGCTGAAAGTACTCTTATGACCTTAAGCTAATTATACCCAGTTTTAGCTTATGCCAAGCCTTATTGTAGCAATTCAAAATAAGCCTTTAACTTAGCAGCAGCTAGAATCTGAAGTTATTTTCAAATGTCAATGAAAGTGTTTGCATACGGGGTGGGAGACATGATGTGAAGATTCATGTCCTCAAAAGCATACACCAACAACATACATAAGATGCCCAAATATATTTATTTGCTTCATAAAAAGTACGTTACTCTTTAGAAAAAAAAAAAAAAGACAGCCTAGAAAATCTCAATACAGATTAAAGTATATTCGATCTGGCACATTCTTCATGATGATGTTTAAGTAAACATCAGCACCATCAGACCAAGCAAGATAAGACTTCAGAAATCAGTAGCAATGAGGTACCAGGACAGAAGAAACCCTTAAAAACAAAAAGGAGCTTCAAAGCCTTTCAGCCAAGCAGAGCCAGAGTTCCAGAAAGTGTTCAAGAACCATGAAAACTCTAATCCTTTTGATCTTCATTTGCTGCCAGAAATATACGAGTTATAACAAGGAAACATAAGCATCTCAGTATATAGGGTTACAAACTGGTGAGCCAGTTCACCAGCTCTGAGTAGTCAGAAAAGTGCAGCACTGTTCTAAAATTGAAAAGGATTGAGCTTGGGTGTTTGGTTTTGGGTTGTGGTTTGGGTTTTGGGGGGCTTTTGTGTCTTTTTTTTTTGGATAGGCTAGCAAGAACCAGTTAAGGCATTTCCTTCAAGACCTCCCTCCTCCTAATGGTATTCAGAACCATCTCAGGACAGAAGGAAAAAGAAGCAAGTTCATTAGCACAGTACAGAAAGAGAGTTACTTTTTGCACTCTTGGTAAAGTTTTCAGTGCTAGTGCATGAAAAAGTTTCCGGAGGTGCATATGGGTGAGGTTACCATAACCATGTGCCAAGAGTACAACTATATTTATTAATGTGTTTCATATGTAAAGTATTAGCTGAAAATATTCTGCCTTAAATGGCTGGCGACACGTTTTTGTTAATATCTCTATAACCATGCTTTTCTTCCCTGTTAAATACAATCATTTACCCATCTTGTTCTTACTCACTGCCAAAAGCCATCTGCTTCACTCAGTCCTAGTGAACACACTAAGAAAGATACCTGTCATCTGCCATTGTCCACTTCAAGATTTCTGGGATGTCATGGTCCAGGAGAACCAGCAATGAGACAGATCCTTATGGTGGGGGACAATAAATAGGGACAATTGTGTAGGTAAGGAGGCTAAAGTAGGACACTTCTGGTGACAAAGTTCACTTTAAAGGTGCAAGTGTCTATTCAGCTAAAACCATGATGAGTGAATCCTATTTGGAATATAGCATACGTCCTAGAAGCAAACTAGACACTGCATGTTGTCTTTGTTCCTTTTTAGGAGTGTAAACACTACCTTATGTTCTCAAGTAAGACACTAATGAGATTTAGATGCAGCCACTCAAGCAAGTGGAGTGATAACTTACAAGATACTCAGTTTCATGCTAAACAAGAATATGTAAACACCCACAAGAATCACCTATGCAGATAATACCAGACACCCCATATGGATTGTCACAATGCAGCACCATAGCAGCAGTTTGATTTAAGGAACAGTCTTGCTGCTCATCCCATCACATTTAGTGAACAGTGGTAGCATTAGCAGCACTGTGATTTACTCTCTGCTTTCAACGGGTCTAGGTCCAGTTTTGGTTTCCCCACATCATTCTCTTCATTAGGAAAGCTTTTGTAGTTGGCAAGGATGTTTTCCACCAAGAATCGAGCAGCTTCGTCTATGTTGATGTTGTCCTAAAAATGTTGAAAGGAAAGGAGTCAGTGATTTTTTGAAATAGTCACACATCCCTATTAGAAGCTGGCCAAATGCAAAAAAATTCTTCTACAGTCTCATCAACATGACACAAATAGCTTAGATGTATCAAGTAATTGCTCCTGCGCTTGCTTTTTGAAAAAAGTTACCAGAAATGTTTGAGACAAAGTTATTCGCCCATATCACAAATAGGATACTTCAGCTCTAATCTTGCATGCAGTCAGGGTAATAGCATCACCTGCATTTGGAAGGCTCACAAATGCCAGAGTGCATTTCTGCATCAGGAAAGGTAAAAAGCAGTTACACTGTTCATAGTAGTGTTCTACCTTTTGAGTCCTTTCACCACTTCTGCAGTTTGGATGCACGTATTTAATGTAAACCTTTTTTATCAGTCTCCAAACCCCACCTAAACCAGGGTGTTTCATCAAGGCACTCTACGTTTTCTTGTGCATGCTTTGAAACACATGTATGCAGGATACCCTGATGAAATACATCTCTAGGTATCTCAAATACTGAGGGGCCAAGCTGGCCAGTGCCAAGGGGCCTCTGGCCACAGCTTCAACCTGGCTGGGCCACCTGTTAGCTAACCACAGGGCTGCCATATTTGGAATTGCTCATCTTTGGTTTCAAAGGAAATACCACACCAGTACACTCTTTTGTCTCTGCAATTGAAGATCTAAACTCTACATGAGCAAAGTCAGGTCATGAGAACATTAGACTCATCACTGCTGCACTTAACCTTGTGCTTGTCAGCCACAAACTGCTTTTGTCAGTTCACAGATAGGTACTTTTCCCTGTCCAGAGTGGAGGAGGATTCTCCTCCTTTTAGTGTAAGGATGTTCATAAGGTATTTCTATGAATATTTACACTCTCCACAGTTCTTTTGCCTTTGATGTTGTCCCTAATCCACAAGGAGTGGGACCTACATTACTGATGACTAGACTGAAGATTCAAGCATCAGTTCCAACCGAAAGACAAAAGTAGGAAATTTAAGTGATGAGGCCTTAAAATGATAAACTGATTTGGTATGCTTAGAAAACAAGAAAGCTGCCCTGAATTTTTGCTAAGGTAACTACACCTCTTCAGAGTCCTAAACAAGTCAATTCATAATTGAACAGGACTAATACTGTCTGGACTTCTCTCTGCACCAAGAACCTTGTTTTACATTGTTGTTTCTCAAATGCCACCTAAAATGCAAGCTGTCACTACACTTTCATTTACACATAGCAGTGTTATGGGCAGTTGAAACTTCAGGGAAGAGATAACCCAAAACAAAATCTTAGAATTATTTTTGAGTGTAAAGAGCCTTGAAATGTGAGTTTTTAGTAACAGATGGGTGGGTTTGGGAATTATTTATTCAGATGCAACAAATGATTAGCTAATTTATCTAATTCCTCTGTGTACTCTTCTTCCTTATTTTAAAGTGACCAGGAAGAGGCTTGTTACTTTTCTTATATTCCTCTTACAGACTTTTTTTTTTCTTTAAAATAGTTGTCTAAGCATCATTTTGTTCCAGTTCATCATCAGCAGTTCAAGGAAGTAAGCAAGCCAAGGGAAAAGAGGGACCTTGGGATTTAGCTTACCATATAAAGGAGTCATCAGCCAGATCAGTAATTTGGTCTGTCAGCCACACTGCTTTCATCTAGAGGAACCTTTTATTTTAATCATCAATTGAGTTTTAAGGAACTGCTTGATTTCACTTCCAACTATGCTACCACAAGCTTATCTGTGCATTGACCAGGTCTATAGACTAAAAGTGTACAATAAATGAAGGTACTTGGTTATCTGTTTGAATGGAGCAACTGTCTATCTCAGCTTAAGTGACTATGCAGAACAACTGGTTTTTCTCCAGTTCAGTCTTGAGAGTGCCTGATAAAATAGATAAGTGCTTTAGTGACGTTATCATCTGGGTATATAATAACAAGTGAGCAAATAGCTTGTTCACTTCTGGAGTCTTACCACTTCCTATGTACAACAGTGAAGACAGAAGGTGCAATTTAAAAACCTGCACCGAGAGATTACTTTTATCTTTTGGATAGTTTGATCAGCATTTAGTAGTATTAACATCTAAGAATGGCTCTGAATAATAACTCTAAACTTAAACTCAGTTAGTCAAGTTACCAGGTAGTTTTGAGGTTCTCTGAATTTAAGATGCAGCTCTAATCTAAATATGCCTCAAGTCTTCTTCAAGAGTGAGCTAGCCTGCACACCAATTCCAACTTTTACTGAACACTGAAAACTTCACTGTCACTTCCTATACTTGATAATTTTCTTCTACACATGACTATATTCATTCATTCTTATGCCAATACTTAGAGTTAAAATGTGTTTCCACTTTATGCTCACCTTGGCAGAAGTTTCAAACCATCCAACAAAGCCACCTTCTCTGCAGAACTGGTCCATTTGAGAGGGATTCTGGTTGCCATCTTTCTTCTGGTCGCACTTGTTTGCAAGAAGAACAGCAGGGATGGGGCTGCCATTGGGAAGCAGTACTTTACTGTCCAAATCATGCTTCCATTTTGAAACAGCCTCGAAAGTGGAGCCTCTTGTGACATCGAAGACCACAAAAGCACCAACTGCCTCTTTGTAGTACACTCTGGTCATATTTCCAAAGCGCTCCTGGCCTGAAAAAGAGGATAGTGACAGGATATTTATATACATGAATTGTTATTTGGCATTCAGGTCTAGTCACCTAATTCATACAGCACTGCCTCTTCCACCCTGTGTTCTCTCATTGTAACAGCCACTATCTACATCATACAAATCAGATGCTTAAAAAACAGCTTGCAATCTCAACTATCAATTGAGTTTACTTTTTTAAAACTTATTTGTGGAGTAGTGTTCTTTTAGAAGTACTACCTAACAACACTACAAGCACAGCTATAAACAAAGCATTCTGTCATCAAAAAAAGCTTCTAAAAGATTTAGGTATAAACCTAGTGACTTCCGCTAGACACTTAAGCAAACTCAAAGGTTTTTCTGGAGGGTGATTAACAAGGGTTTCTGCAAGTTCCACAGCTAACAGCCTTCAAAGCATCTTCTGGAGAAGTCACCTATATTATATTATTATATATTATATTTGCTTAGGGACAAGCTCAAAAGGAGCTAGTTTAACAGTTCTAGCTAAACCTATTATCTTTGACTTCAGTTCTTAAGTCTAACACCTTCTCTGGAATAATTTCCAACTGCAGGAGTTCTGCAGTAATCCCAGGATTTCATACAAGATTATCAGAATAGCTGACGTACAATTATTTAAATATATATATATATATCAAGAAGAAAACCCATGGTCAGCAAGTATAGGCAACTAAAGCCTTTCCTTATTAAGTACAACTATTGTGGTCAGTATACTTGAAGTGTACAACTAGAGTGTCACTTCAGTTATTATTCCATTTGGATGGTCAGACCATCATGCTATGTCCATACTGGAGTGGTCATAGCAATGTCAGTTGCAAGCATGTTGCTTAGGAAGTTTGGGCTACTAAAATAGCTTTCCGCTTTGTTCAGAAGTCTTCATTGGGAAAAGTAGCCCCTGCACTTTAAATTTTAATTTTGCAGTGTACCATCACTTCAGCTTTTAGCATTTAGTGCATATGCAATTTTAGAATAAAAAGTCAGACTTTTAATTGGAAACATAGTTGTCCTCTGTTTATAAACATTCAAATCTGCCTTTGATTAACAAGCACAAACAGTTACAAGAAGAGTTGGGTATTATCATCTTCTCAGAAAGAGCCAGAAATTCATTAGGTGAAGGAACTTGACAAGGGATGCTGTTCAACAGCATGCTTTTCTATCTCAATTGCCTCATTTTAATGTCAGTACTTCAGTGTACCGATTAGCTCATTCCCTGTAGACATCTTCAGAAAAGGTTGACTAAGCAGCTGTTAGAATTGACTGAAAGCAGCAGCAGCTACAGTGAAGCTCCAGAGAACTATGAAGTTCTATGAAGTGGACTATTTCCGGCTGTTCAGCTTTAAAGAACGACGTTGCATCACTGGCCAGCATATTCTGAGGAGCAGAAGTTACAGGAGAATTTCATCACTACAAGCTCATTATCACCTGTGTGAGAACAAGGAGCATGCAAGAGGAAAGCTTGATGTGGTAAAAGGTATATGGCAGGAGGCAGAAAGAGAGCCCAGTATGAACTGAGTAGACTTTCTTTACAAACCTGTTATTACTGACAGCAACTGAGCTGCTTGTAGGGTATGTGGAGCATTCTAGACAGCCTTTTGAAAATTTAACAGGACTTTCAGCAAATCTTTTGCAAGTGTTTTTCTGCTTGCAAAAAAACCAACCTTATAGAAAAAGCAAACTGTAGAACACACCACTCCTCCAAAGTTTGGAGTCTGAACATCACTCTCCATTTTGGTATTAAAACTAAGTTGAGTCAATTTTTGCCTTGCTTAGTTCAGCCAGGGTTTTTTTATTCCCTTCCCGATGTCCAGTAGAATTTTTGCTGTAGTTATTTCACTGTGTGTGAGACTGGTGTTGAACAGTACCAAAAGTGGATCATACCCCTAGAGGGGAAAAAGTCTAAAAGTGATCAGATAAAACTAGACTTAAAATCTCCAGTGGATATAACCATGAAAGGAAGAGGACAGAAAAATTACTTGGTTACTACAGCAGTAAGGAAAGGTCAGAGGCTTAATCATTCCAGTGGTTCTAGTGCCTTGACATAAACCTGATAGTACCACAAAGTTATCATTTCAGTGCTTTAGGGGTTCAGGTGTAGATGAGGAGCTAAGTTATGGAGAACAGGCAGTCATGGAGAACAGAGGTTTTGTTCCACAGCATGGAACTGGCTGCATGCAATGCAAAGTTCTGAATCCTCTAACCACAAAGTTTTCACATCTAAATGACTCAGCACATATTGTCACCATAATTTCCAGTAATTGCAACAATATTGAGTGAAATACTTGCATAATGTCATGCATCAGGAACTAATACAGTTCCCTACAGCAGCACCACAGGAATAAAGTTTAGTTTAAAAAAGTATCAAAGCTTGGGAGCTGTTATGGTTTACTCCTGTTATATTGTAAACTGGAAAGCAATAAGTTAAAAATGGCATGAGTTACAACCAGGTCTGACATTAGAAGATTTAGCTATGTCTTTTATTTCACTGCAAAAATATAAATTATATTCATAAGATTCATACACTGTCAACCTTGCCCTGAAGTACATTTTAAAGGGTTTCTACAGCAATCCTTCCCAGTGTAAGGAATAAACAAGAGTCCTGTTTATCACAGCAATGACATCATTGTGGCCATTCTTGCTGTTAGTTAGGAGTTACTCTATACTCCTACCATTATTTTTGCTCTCAACTCCTCCTACAAGATGGGAACTGAGGCTAGAAAAAGCAAGTTAATGTACAAATGACTGGTGGATACACATGATACTGAGTTTCTCAGGGTTCCACCTCCCAGGCTACTTACCATACCTAGAAGTCATAAAGCTTACACAATCTAACAGGAAACTACTCAAGGAGAGTGAAATGAAGAAGCCTTGTCAGCTATATTTTTTTTTGTTGTGAAGGTAAATTTTGGGTTCTCTCTGTCAATATCAACAGTACAGCACAAGTTCCCTTACTTTGTAAGAAAAAAAATAATCTAAGCTTAGTCTATTCTGAAACCACACAGCTTGGAAGCCAGAGTTGTTACTTGCATTTAAACCTCTAGCATCTCATTAGGAATACTGATGGACAACTGCACAAAGTCTAACTTCTTTCAGATGAGACTAGAGTTTTTATATCCTCCAAAACTTGTGCCATTAATGAGGAAGAGAAAGATGACCAAGAGTTACAAAAGCCTGACAACCAGAAGAGTGATGGAACAAATATTTTTTGTTGAAGTAATGTTAGTTCAAGTCATCTTTGACAGCCTAATCAGCTTAATAAGTGTCCAAATCTGATTTTAACAAGTTTGACAGTTACACATCAAGAAGTCCTAAACTAGAGAAGCATAGTTTAGACTACAGTCATGCAAAAGTGAATGCACAACTAACAGAAGAGTTTTATTCCAAAGTTGTTTGCTGCTAACTCAATGATCTTTGCAATGAAGTTTTGCAGTTTTAACCTGGACCAAATAATACAGAGTTGTCAAGTCTGATAAATAGCAAAAAGCCCTCAGTTCATTAATAAAGCCAAGCAGATCTTGCTAACATTGTCATTCACGATACTGAAACTTAAGTATTCAGTTAGTTTAAAAGTCAGAATGACGGAATATACCACACAGGATAACTCAAATCCATAAAACAAAGCAAAACCCACAATCTATCCAGCAATGAATACTCCAGTAGTGAAGAAAGTGCTCAAGAGACTTAGTGAATCAAATTAAGAGTTCAAAATGCATAGAAGTTGCACCCTGCTAGTGTGTTTCAGTTATTCTGCTTTTCTGCCAATAGGTACTATACACTGCAGTGAACTCAGACATCACAGGATGCTTATTAAGCTATAGTAAATAGCTGTAATAAATCAGTTCTAGTCTGGGAATACTTGAACATTCTCCTTGTGTTGTGAAAAGAATTTTTAGATCTACTATTTACCATGACTACTAATAGTCAATATTTGTCATACCAAAATTCAAAAAGGGTCATTAGTGACAGCAGACTAACTCTAATTTGATTGCAAACACCATGGCTCTTAGGTCCTTGCTATCAACTACTCTGACTTTATTATCCACACATTGTGCAAGCACAAGGCCACTATTTAGACTTCAGTGCCAAACTCCACAAATTAGTTGTTTCAGACAATTTCCTGGGCCATGAGACATTTGAGCTTTTATTCATCCTGGACAGGAAAAAACACAATTCAACAGTAAGTGAAACTCCTTCTTTTCCAATCTTCTTTCTGCCAATTGAATGCCCAACCTAATGAGCATTCTCTTCCCTGCTGCAGATTTGCTGCTTTACAGAAGATTTTTCCCAACTCCCTGAAACATCCGAGTGGCAGCTCCTTATTTACAATTCTATCTCTCAAAGGTCATGTCATTCGGTGTGGTAGATTTAAGCTAAAGCATCATCCAAAATGGCTGGGCATGCAGCCCAATCCTCTCACCGAGTTAGAATCACTGTCCCTTTCAAAACTCACCCAAGCCCTTCAGAAGCTGGAGGCAAGAACAAACTACACTTTAGATGCTTGTTGGTCCTACATACAGCTGGATGTTTGGCACAATAAAGCAAATATCCAGAATTGCCCTGAGGCTGCATCTCCCAGTTCTCCAGACACCTCATGTACATTTTAGCACCTCCTGGGTCAGGTGTGAGCTAACTGAGGCTCCTTTTTGGTCAGATATATCAATATGTTACCAGAAAGCTACCACTGCTGACAGCATTCCCCCCTCTCCCCAAACCAGCACAGCTTGTCCCAGAACTGTCTTACCCAATTAGATTGAATCTGTTATTCTGCAAGAAGTAGGTTACCCAAACCACTATCAATATTACAGGACATGCTCAAGTGTGTCTACCTGCTTTTTCCCATGGGCAGCAGAGCGAGTAGACAGACCGAGATGGTCAGTACTAGATGGCTCTTCACTTCTCATTCTTACCCATTTAAGCTACGAATGCAAAGTTGCCAAGTGTTTCAAATACAGAGGAGTTAAACTATAGTAGCAGCTCCAGCAGATATTAG